CTTGATTCCGCACATACAGCATCGAAATGTGGCAGCAAACGGAACTGTCAACAATGTGGACAACGACATCATACGCTCTTGCACTTTCCAACGAACAAATCAGACTACATAGCAGCTACGCAAAAGCAACAAATGATTACTTCAGATCAGGCAGTGGTCACAAATACAACGCAACTCATATCAGCAGTGACCAAACCTTCATCTCAGCTAGTTCGCACTGTACTTTTGGCAACGGCTTTGGTCAGAATACATAATGACGAAACTGGCCAGTCATCTATTGCCAGAGCGCTAATAGATAACGGATCTGAAGGAACTCTCATCACGGAACATGTGGTTCAATCGCTTGGCTTGAAACGTCATCCAATTTTGGCAGAGATTAACGGAGTCGGTGACAACTCGAAGAATAAATGTAAATGGACAACCCAGCTCAAACTTAGCTCGTGCACCGACCAACAGTTTAGCACTTACATCGACACAGCATATGTCTTACCATCGCTTACATCTCAGCTGCCGAAACAAGACATTCCAATACAGAAATGGCGTCACATCCAAGGATTACAACTTGCAGATCCACAATACTTTAAATCAAATAGAATCGACATAATCATTGGAGTTGACCTAATACCACATCTCATACTTTCAGACATCAAAAGAGGCAGTCCAGACCAACCAATCGCTCAAAACTCGCAGCTCGGCTGGATTCTGTTCGGACAAATCAACACACGGTCAACGAACACTATCACTATTCAGTGTCATCAAACAAATTTGGATGTCTTGGTTCAAAAGTATTTTGAACAAGACAGAATGGATACGGTACGACGCCTTACAGCAGAAGAACAATGGTGTGAGGACCATTTTCAGCAAACACACATACGTCAACCCAACGGCAAGTACATGGTACGTTTGCCGCTCAAAACATTGTTTGACCCTCAGCAGGTACTTGGCAAATCCCGTCAAATCGCTTTGAATCGGTTCCAATTGTTGGAACGCAAACTTCGTCGCCAACCTGACTTACAAGAACGATATGATGAAGTCATGCAGGATTATTTCAAATTGGGTCAAATAACTGCGGCCACAACTACCGAAACAGAACACATTACCCGTGATGCTCATAACAACATAGCATATACCTCATGTACTTTGCCTCATCATGCGGTAATCAAAGAAGATAGTCTCACTACCAAATTGCGAGTAGTGTACGATGCATCCTGTAAGACAAGTAATGGAAAATCACTCAACGACATTCTTTGTATTGGACCAGCTTTACAAAACGATCTAGCAGGAGTTATTCTCAATTGGCGTCAACATCGTTATGTATTCGCTGCAGATATTCAACGTATGTATCGTTGCATCGACATGCATCCAGACGACATAAATTATCAACGCATATTCTGGTTCGACAAACATAACAAAATAGCAGAATATTGTCTTACAACTGTAACATTCGGAACTGCATCTGCCCCGTACACAGCTATACGAGTAATGCATCAGCTTGCAGACGACGAACGTGATCGTTATCCTCTTGCTGCACGCGTTCTCAAACATGAGGTTTATGTGGATGACATACAAACTGGAGATTCTACTATTGCTGGAGTCCTTGCCATTCGTGATCAACTTGTTGCCATCTTACGCTCAGCCGGTATGGAACTTCGTAAATGGTCGTCAAACTCGACAGCGCTGCTGACTGGCATCCCTTCAGCAGACCATTCAAATGCACACATTCTTGAGTTTGATAACAAAGACTCAATCAAAACATTAGGTCTTTACTGGCATCCCAACAAAGATTATTATGGCTTCAAAGTGAAGTTCACGTTGAATCAAACATGCACTAAACGTTCCATTCTTTCCACCATAGCGCGTCTGTATGATCCTTTGGGCTTTATCGCACCTGTCATTACATCTGCTAAAGTTATCATGAAGAATGTTTGGAACACAAAAATTCAACGCGATGATGGCAATTTGACTCCATTAGATTGGGATGACGACGTACCACATGCACTTCAAGAGCGCTGGCAAAACTATATCGCCAGTCTACCCAATGTCGAAAATATCCGAGTGCCACGATGGTTGGGAACCGATTCATCGCAGATCATTTCACTACAGTTACATATATTTTGCGACGGATCATCGTTGGCCTACGCTGCTTGTGCATACCTTCGCGTGGAAAACAAAGACGGATCAGTGATTTCGCATTTGCTGACAGCTCGTAGCCGCGTCTCACCTACTAAGCCTTGGACAATCCCTAGAATCGAACTATCTGGAGCAGTTTTGGCAACGAATCTCGCAAAATGGAGTGGTACATATTTGCGTACAAGCGAGCCCATTCCCACATTCTACTGGTCGGATGCCACAATCGTACTATACTGGATTAACGGTGACCCTGCCCGTTGGAAAACCTTTGTGGCCAATCGAGTCGTGCAGATTTTGGAATTCAGCACACCTGCACAATGGCGGCATGTTCCCACACTCGACAATCCCGCAGATTGTGCTACTCGCGGTCTTACACCTGATGAACTATATGACCATCATCTGTGGTGGAACGGCCCTCCCTGGTTAACTCAATCATCAGAACAATGGCCAACCAATTGCATTGTCTCACCAATGATGGACTGGGATTTGGAAGAGAAACCGGCGATACTACAGGCCAACCACGTTGTTAAAGAAGAGGCGTTTATTGCAAGGTTTTCATCATATAATCGATTGTTATACGTTATGGCATATATAAAACGTTTCTTAAACAATGCTAAATCCAAATCCATAAATCGTCTCATAGGTCCGGTATCAGTAACTGAATTGCAAGCTGCGTTGGTCCACATAGTGCGTATGGTGCAAAACGATGCCTTCAAATTGGAAATTGGCGCTCTCAAGGCTCATAAAACATTGCCGAAGTCAAACAACCTGAGCCAACTATCGCCAATTGTGGATGAGGAAGAAGTTTTGAGAGTTCGTGGCAGACTTCGAAATGCGTTACATTTGTCAACAAGTCAGCAGCAGCCCATCATATTGCCAGCGTCCCACCATTTTACTGACCTGGTCATACAAAACAGTCATACAAGCACCTTGCATGGTGGTACGCAACTGACTCTGTCTCACCTCCGACACACATTTTGGATAATTGGCGGAAGGCAAGCCGTTAAACGTATACTACGGCGCTGCATCCAATGTTTTCGTCATCGTCCAAAACCGAGCACGCAATTAATGGCGGATTTACCCTTGCATCGAGTCAATCCTCCCAAACGGCCATTTCTTGCAACTGGAGTTGATTTTACAGGGGCCTTTGAAATTAAATCTTCACGATATCGAGGTCACACAACCTACAAGGCCTATATTGCAATTTTTATATGCCTTGCAACAAAAGCCATTCATCTTGAGGCGGTGACTGGCTTATCTACAGAACAGTTCCTTTGGGCTCTACAGCGCTTCATTGGTCGTCGAGGACTTTGCGAACACATGTACAGCGATTGCGGAACTAATTTTGTTGGTGCGGATAAAGTGTTGAAAACTTGGCACAGCAAATTTAAACAGGAAATAGCAGACAGCATCGTTCCTGAGCTTGCCAAGCGTAACATACAATGGCATTTCAATCCTCCACACAGTCCCAATTTCGGCGGAATATGGGAGGCTAACGTCAAATCGGTTAAAACTCATCTTCACCGATCATTCAGCGGAATTCGTATGACGTACGAGCAATTGTCAACAGTTTTAACCCAGATAGAAGCTTGCCTTAACTCTCGCCCACTGTGCCCTTTGACAGCAGAGCCCGAAGAATGTATTGCTCTAACCCCAGCCCATTTTCTCATTGGAGATTCCATGTTGGCACCAGCAGTTCCTCAAGTCTTCAAATCCTCCACCGCTAAGGACTTCCTTGAGGGACAACGAATTCTTCGACAGTTTTGGAAATATTGGAGCAACGATTGGCTGTCTCATCTACAAGCTCGTCCCAAATGGCGTCATGAAACAGCTAATTTAAAAATAGGTGACATGGTCATCATAAAGGACGATCGACTTCCACCGAACGAATGGAAACTTGGCCGTGTCATCGAACTTCATCCAGGAGCAGATCAACTTGTTAGAGTGGCAACGGTTAAAACGACTTCTGGAATTTATAAACGAAGTCTTTCTAAAATCTGCCGTTTGCCTTTGCCATCTTGTTCCTCCCAAGATGACACAACACAGAACTAACCACTATGATCGCTTCCTTGCATGCCATAACAGACACTTGCTTTCTTTTCTTTGTAGCAGGTTTCCGGTTCTTTGGTTTGAATGCTAGTTCCAGCATTGGGGGCGGCATGGAAGATTTTGCAATCTATTTGAACCGGCAACTGCCATTTATCGTAGCCCTGGCAGCACTGGTCGACGAGTGGTGCCCAACCTTGCTAATAATCGAGATACCTTGTCGATTCCTTTTTTGGCTCGATAAAACGAGAGCGAGTTGAGAAGCCGAAGCGAGCGGACGTGTGGTGTGTGCGCGGAACAATAGCGAGTTAGAAGTGTGTGAGCGAAGCGAAAAGAGAGACTTTATATATGTGCCGGAACATTTTAGACATAGAAAATTCGGTGTATTACATTGTAGGTTAAGCTTGAAATTACAATAAAAGAAATAACGTTACACCCCTGAGCAATTAAAGTCAGTATGCTCATCATTGCCGTTACAAACGAGTAGCGACACAACAAAATGTGTGCCAGAGGACAACTAAATAATATTTTGAACGGCCATAGGTCAGACACTGAAGAAACTAACAAAATATTTTGCAAATTTATTTTTACCTTTACATTCTTGTTTTCCTTATATTTCTATTAAAAACGTACCTATAATTGGACGATTCATATGAAATTTAATTATCTTTAAATCTTTAACCCAAAATATTAAAAAAACAATTGCTGTGGTTAAATAATTTTAGTATTTAAAACAAAAGACCCTAGTAGGTTTTTAAAAATATTTCCATAAGCTTGTTACTTTTGTTATTAAAAACATACATTTTTCTCTAAACTTTCTTACAAACAACACCACAACAACAACAAAAAAACCCAACAAAAAAACTAAAAAGTAAAAAGCTAAAAAAAATTAAATATATTCGAAATATATTTTTACGATTTGATAAATTCCATAAAAATCGTCACAATGAATCGCATTGACAGCACTATGGACGACATGGCCAACACCAGGTTCCTAACTCTCTACAATAGTTTGATAAAACAGTTTGCAGCCACCACTGATTTCTCATACAACGGGGTGCTCTGTCTACTCATCGTCTATTACAAGTTTGCCCAAGTCAACGGGGAGTCCTCGAAATTGATGACTAAGAAGCAGTTGCACAATCTGTTCCTTGTTCTATTCAGAATCTATGACATAACAATCATCAATCGTGTATTGCTAAACATAACTACAGATGTGCGCTTCGTTAGTCCAGAGGCTTGGATGCAATTATTCTCCGTCTACCTGACTGACAAACTGGAAGTTCGCATGGAATTTGCCTTCAAGGTAAGTGGGGTTTGGTGCAGAATAAAGAAAATGATTTGTAGGCATATTCTATCTACTATATATCAGGTATACACCAATTCTGGTGCTGGTGTGCTGAACAGAGAGCGTGTCGGAATGGCTGTGGAGAAATTTTTTACGGGCGATGATGATGATGAGATTAATGAATTGCGAGCGGTATGTCTGAATGCTGAGATTATTTGAAATACACTTTTCTACATATACGATTTATTTTTATCAGGATATGTGCGAATTTATCTTTAATAAGTTCGATACTGACAAGGACGGCGTCATATCGTATGATGAGTACCAATATGTGGTTTCCAATCAGCCAGCTCTAATGGAGTTTTTGGGACAGGTGTTTCCCGATGTAAAGGACTTGTGCCTGATTGCATATTGCACCAATATTGAAGTTCTCTTTCCCAGCGATTAACTCCAAAAACAATGACAATAATGAAATACTATTTATAGACATGCCAGAACTATGCAGAATTAAACAAAGACTTTAAGGCCTAATGGCAAAAATATTCTAAAACAAACTGGCACCTGGGTCTTTGATTTAAAACAAAAAATCACAAAAAATAATAAACTATACTACTATTTATATATGTATATATATATATATATATATATATATATATATATATATGTATATATATAGTATTTATAGACAAAAATCCCAAAATATATTTAAATATAAAATAAGAATTTAAAAAAAGGTTAGTGGAAAGCTGATACTCACAACTTTTTACGTGTTGTCTCTACTCAGATTATGAGATGTGGTTTCGCTTCCCTTTTTTAGATGGTTCGTACCTTTAATAAACAGAATTTGCCAGTTTTACGAAATTAATATTTGGCTTTTCTACAACTATGGCAACAATATCGGAATATAGCTTTCTCTGAATAAATATTATTTTTTGATTGTACGTGTTTATCAAAAACCAAAAGTAGATTTTAAGACAAATTAACCCTTTTAATCACACCATTGTTAACCGCTTATAAAGAATTTATTCTGTTGTTTGTAAAAAGAAAGCGTTTCAGTTCCGAGTGGATTAAAAATGTGAAAGGATCTACATATGTCCATATATTCGTCCATTCATATGTCTGTCTGTTTGCATGTAATATATATATATATATATATATATATATATATATATATTTACTAGAGTCAGCAAATTTAGTCTAGAGGTTTCCAAGTTTCCAATTTCCAAATAAAATTTTTTTTAATTATTTAAAAAATTGAAAGATTATCGAAGGAAAATGATTGCCAAATCGAAGAGAGTTAATAATTTCCGATTTATGTGGCTCATCTGGCAAATACTGACATGTGGATTTATTGGGGCGTAGGAACAGCATGGATTTATTAAAATATTTAATAACGAAATGCAATATTTTAAAAATATGTTGCAGTCTTCTACGAAGCTCTTCATCGTGCTCTCTACATTTATAGTATTTTCGGTTGAAGCAGTTCCAACTACAAGCATAAATTTGTATAGTATGTTTAAATAAGCCCATCATATGTACAAGTGTGTGGGCGTTTAAACAATTTTACAACTACTTATGGATGTTTATTAATTTGTTCGCCTTTGGCTAATTTTCTCGTACATGCAAACGAAACAATGCCTGCCGTGAGGATGTTGTGGTGTTGATTGTGTTGGTGGTAGGGGGGGAGGGGAGCACATGTGCACCGCCTGAGACGTCTATTAAATATATGTGGCACAAGTGTTGAAAATAGGCGCTTAAAGGATTTCCAGCGCCAGACTCAGCGGCAGTAAGGCAAGACATTCGGCCCGCGAGCGAGCTGGCAAGCGGCTGAGCGCATTACAATGAAGTAATTTTCTATTAAGTACACAGAAAAGTTGAAATTGCCTTTTGAGCAACTTTACAGTTGTGTGGGTGCAGGTCCTGTTCGCTGCCAGTGCGGGTCTACATGCATGCATACGAGTATACTCGTGTTTGTGTGTGTGTGTCCTGTTATATTTTCCATCGGCTCTCTCCGCAAATCTGTGCGAATGTAATTGTCTCTGTTGTCTCTTTTGTTTCTGTTCTTACCATACTCTGCCCAACTCCTTCATAATAGTGTAACTGGCTGGTGGGTGGCCATGTCCTTTGAGTTTGTGTGTTTGGGGTGCGTGTTCGTTTTTCCGCGCACTGGAGGAAACGTTTGCTTTGCGGCTTTGTAAAGCAATTACATTTTGCAACACATGCGGGCCAAAATACACAAAAACATTCATTCCCAGTGCCAGTGTTGTTTGCATCAACATGCTAGCCAACATCAAATTTTCTAATTAAATTGCCCAAATTATATGTTTAAGCCAAATGTTCATCTAATTGTATGGCATGAAATAAAAGACGAGCACAGACACGCACACACAACCTCAGACTACTACTTTACTATATAATGCAATGCCAGATAATGCTTCGGCTGGTTAAATCCTAACCCCCGCCCTCGACTCGGCGGGCATTGTGGTTGCAAAAAAAATGACTACGCGGCTTTTCTGCTCTTTGGAAAGTGCAAAATTTACCAGCTTTCTGGTCAGGTATGCAATATTTTCAGCACTTCAAATCCAATGCTACCATATAATTTAATAAAAAACCTTCAAATTAGTAGGGATCGACCTTCGAATGAATGTTTGCCTATCGCGGGTCGGAGCTCCTGCAATTAATTTATTTTGCTGCCATAAAATAACACAACATCATATATCGTTTACAGAAAAGCTCTAACTCAATTAAAAATAACCAAAAAAAAATTCAAAAATAACAAAAAATAATCATTCAAATAATAATATCCTAACTCAGCAAAAAGAAGGCTGAATACGTGTATGTGTTCTAAGATTTTTAATTTTATTTAAATACCCGTGCGAAGCAGGAACAGGCCTCTAGCTATGTATAAAAGTATGAAAATTAAACAACTTAAACAAATTTGAGAATTAGTCCCTTAATCAGATACATTTTTGTATCCATCATAAAATGCAGAGTAAATAAAAATATTTAATATTTAAAATACACTTTCTTCATGCATTCCTATTGCTCCGGCCCGGGTATACTCGTCGGCCAGAGTATCTGAAAAAGTTATGCCCTTTATTTTGTTGCTTTCTTAAATACGAGTGAGGATTCCAAAAAATAAAATAAACTCGTCCTTTCTCGGACGTAGGAGAAAGCTTTTATAGTTTCTGAGATCCTTGCAGTCATCCAGACAGACGGACGGACATATCTAAATCGATTTGTCTCGTCTCGCTGATTAAGAATATATATACTTTATGGGTTCGGAGATGCGTCCTTCTTACACCTTTTCAATCTACGGGTATAACAATAGTTCCACTTAGAAACTACTTTTCGCCATCGTGCTCTATTGGCGATGGGCGTCATTACACTATTAACCAAATAGAACACTTTACAAATGATGGCCCCCATTAATGCCCTAGAAGCTGCTAAAAAATACTATCTTTTAGCAAATTGCGATGCTGTAAATGCTTCTCAATATCGCTCATTTGCAATCAACATAAAAGCCAGCTGATTGAAATTCCTCAAAACTCTTAAATGGAATTGTTTGATTTCTATGTTGTCCCACATACTATATATATATGTATATAGTGCGAGTAGTACACACTCCACAACTTGACCATTCAGTGTGTCAGTGCAGAGTGCATATCAGCAAGACCAACTCGACTTTTTGTTCGGTCAACTCCACAGGGGAGGGAGAAGTGCCAGTACACAGATGTCACATGTTTCTCGGTGTTTTAGTGCCAGCTGCCAGAAGTTGGCAAATGTTAAGAAACATTCTGACTGCGAACACTTAACAAATTTTGCTTGCGGTTTTGTGGCTATGCAGATGGTTTTGCCTGAGCCAGACAGCCTGTGATGCTTGTAGGTGTGACTGCATGTGACAAAGCGAGTAAGTAATTTTATTTAGTCCATTACTTAGGGTTGCGTCCAACATGGCGTATGCGCAATAAAAATAACAAAAAAACGCGCAAATTTTTTATTCAACTACACTCTGATCTGAAGTATAAAGTTGTGGGTAATCAGAAGTTTGTCAGAAATCGAAATAAAATCGCAAAAAGTTGAGTCGCGTAGAGAGGAGGAGGCATATGGTCAGTGATTGTTGATTTTAGCCGTCAACCAGTCAATGACACGCGTCGTTGGGGCATTGCCTGGCATAAAATGCTGCGCGTGACATTTGTCCAGACATTTGTTGGTGTTTGGTGTTACTGAGCTCGCGCCCTTGACGTTGCACGTAAAACACGTCCAGGCCGAAAGTCGCTTCGTCAAAAGGCTGAAAAGAAAGCATGAAAAAGTCACCACAGGCGGCAATCGGCCATTCGGACCATGCCAACGACATACACGAGTTTCTCATTTTACAACCAAAATCTTTACCCTTCCCCTCCCCCCTCCCATTCGTTCTTCTCATATCCGACTACATTACTTTTGGGTATCGCGTGACGTGTTTGAAAATCACAGCAGCTGCCCAACTGCCCCAAAGTACGCGGCAGTTCGTCACACCGAGGGCTATTGTTGCTGCCATTGTTGTTGCCACTGCTATTGTTGTTGTTGTTGTTGTTGTTGCATTGCCATTTGCCCTTTTTGCATTAACACGCCGCGTCCTGTTGCATTTCATTTTAAAAGTCGAGTAGTTCACTGCGAGTGACTGACCCTCTTTCAACCTCCAGTCTGCCAGTCAGTTTTTATTTTATTTTTTGTTTTTTTTTTTATTTTGTTGCGGCTTTATGCCTCGCGTACTTTTACAAAAATAAAAAAAATCATATTCTCTTTTTTTGCATTTATTCATGTCGTTATGTTCACGCTCGCGGTGTTTATACTCGTCAGTCCATTTAACGCAACCCAACTTTTGACCGCAGCATTTTGGTCAAAGGGTCCTTTATGAAGTTACACACAGTGCCTCCATACACATACATATATACTATACATATAAGTACTGCATAAACAGATGTGCGCTTCCAAATGAGATGGCCGACTATATAAGGCATATGAATGAGCATGCATTTATATTTACGCACTCGCTTAACTCTGGTAATTAGATATTTTCCGTATTTAATGTAATGCGATCGGAGATTATTCACATGAAATAAAGTTGTTGCCAAAATACTCTCTGATACTTGAGGATATTTTTCATTTTATGAGTGAACAAACGGTTTATAATTTAACATAAGCAGTGACAAAATTTTATCAAAAACACATGAGATTTTATTTAAACCAAAAAGAAAATAAAAGATTTAATTTGAGTTAATTTTTGTTTTAGATTGGTGAGAAGAGCCTTTACTATTCATCTATAATTGTTGGTTAGTGTAAATTTGGCTTGAAAAGAATTGCTAGAAAAAACGCCAGAAAATACCCTTAAAAAACGCTATGAATAGCTGGAAAACCCGCGAGCAAGTGCCGAGAAAGGCATTTATAAGTAGCTAGAGAAAGGGTGGAAAACTTGCCAGAAAATGTCTAGAAAACCCACTAAAACTAAATGGAAAGTGGCTAGAAACATCGCTTATTTATAGCCATAAAACTCGCTAGAAAACCGCCGTCA